TTTTTTTTTTTTTTTTTTTTGCTAGCATTGTTACAGGCCTGCTCACCCTAGGAGAGTTTAATCCCCAAGTTCATTAACATTATGGAGGTTTCGGAATATTACTGAGGCCTAAGAAAGCATTTCCACCCTGTAGGGATAATGAGCCAGTAAGGAGGTTAATTTACAAGTGGGATCCAACTAACAAAAATGGCTTGAAGAAGGGCATCTAGAGTTACATATTTCTACCAAGTCATGTACAGATTCTGTGGTGTCCCATATATAGAGTTGGAAGCCCCACATATAGTTCAGTTACACCAAACTTTGCACCATTGCTCCAGATCAGTTAGACTCAAACAGAATCTTATGCATTATCACAGCTTATGTTCTATGTGGTAAAGAGATGAAAGAAAATAGTTGGATTCGAATACTACAGCCTATGATCTGAAAAATGATTTCTGTTGTGACTTGTGTTGCCCTTCTGACCCTGACTTTAATCACTTTAAGCTGATTTCATAGGAGTCAGGGAACACAAAGCCATTAGCTGTTAGATTCCTGCTTGCTAAGAGTGACATTACAAAAATCTTTTTTTTGACCACATTATTGACTACACCATGATTTCTCTGAATTTAACAATTCCATCCATTAGAATGTTTTGGCTTTATATTTAAAATGTGTTATGCATACAGCATAGTATTCTCTTGCTATATCTCTAATTCAAGTCATCATCATCTTTCTATGATTTCTGCAGTAATTTCCTAAATATTTTCACATTCCATGTTTTCTTATCATTTTTATCTTCACAGTCCTTTCTGTGGAAAACAAAACCAAATCTAGTTTTAATATCGTCATGTCTTTTCATGTTCTTTCAAAGGTATCTTACTGTGTATGATTAGACTATAATAAAACTCAGAACCGAGAATTTATCTCGCTTTACCTGACTTCTGCCTATTTGGGTTCAGCTTCTACCATGTCCTACATGCTAGCCAGACGAGCCTTCACTTCACTCCTGAAACACACTGAGTTGGTTCTCTTCCAATCCTTAATCTTATTTGTCCCACTCTCTAGATTGCTCTTATGTGTAGTTCTCTTTATGGCTGCCTTCCCGTCTTTTAGTTCCTAGTTCGAAATCTGTCTTACCAGAGAGGTTTCCTTTGATCATCATCACATTCATTCCTATCACTCTCACCTTACTTGTATTATTTATGTAGTTATTGCAGGCTGCTCTATTAGAATGCAAGTTCCAGGGCTACACGGACCTTATCAGCTTGTTTGTCTCCGAATTTTCAGTTTTCAAAATAGTTATTTGCTCAAAGTAAACACTCAAGATGTTTTATAGATGAATGAATAAAATGTTATTTGTAAAGAAGTCACTTCAGTCACATCTTGCAACAAGAATTCTCAACTCACCATGACTTTCTAATAGGACCATGTTTTGATTTCTCTGCTGTCTCTTCCTTACACATGGGGGGTCAATACTTAGAAGTATCAAAGACTCTATGAAGCCTGTGAGTCAGCGATATGCCATTGGTTATCAAGAGAAGGAACTGTATCCAGAGACAAAGAAAGTATGTACTTACTAAAAGCACCTTAGAACTTGAACCAATTTCACATTTAATAGCCAAGGTGAAGGTTATAAAACACACCTGGGCCATGAGCTGAAGTTCCAGCCACCTAACATGGCGTGACAAATATCCCGAATACATATTCAGCATCTTCTGGAAGACCACATGCTCTTTTCAATATCGGTGAACTAACTGGGCCTTCCAAGTTCACACTCAGCCCAGAATTTTTATTTTCCTCCCCTTTCTGGTTTCTTGAAAGTATTTTCTTACCCTTGCTCTGACATCTGACAAAACCTGAAATGCTTTCTTTGTCTTATTCTTACTCTCCTCTTCCACGCATCAACACAAAGTAAATAACAGAAATAAAATCTGCAGTGGATTTTTGCTGACATTTTGCAACTTACAGTGAAGAGGTTATGCCATGACACCACCAAGAAAGAAAATTTAAATCCTATACAACTGATGCTTGATAGTACTGTAATGATGTTCAGGAAAATCTGCACAAACAATATATTAGCAATACTGAACAATCGTTCCTAGGAGAGGATAAACAACATAAGGTCTCTGCAAGCCACTACTAACGACATTCCATAGCTCAATTAATACATGACCTTGTTGTATGTCTGTTTAATGATACTTTACTTAATATATAGTTGATTCATTAGCATTGCACTCATTGCAACAGCGGTATAACTAATGAGTGACTTACGCTTATCTATGTCACATATTTTCTCTGTAAGTCACATCACAACCTTTTTATGCTTCCAAACACAGGGCAGCATCTCAGCAGTATGTTTGGGGGACATTTTGAACAAAAAAAAATCACAAACAAACAGCAACAAAAAAGATAGGACACTACCTATTTACCGCATTTACATAATTACAGTATGAAGGCTGAAGTAAGAAGGCAACGCATCATCTAGTTCATTGACCTCAAGCTGAGACCATGACGCTCAAGGACTCATTTTGTTGTTGTCGTTGCTTTGCTGTACTGCACATGTTTATATGTGAAAACATGAAGACAAGCATTCCTCTGGGGGCTATAAATAAATCCTAGTGTGTGGGTAAATTCACAAATGTAAAATGTAAAATGCTCCCTCATTTTAGCATCATCTGGGTTAGACCGTCCCTTTTAGGAAAACTGCCAACAGCACATTCTTGCTGGCTTCTCCTAGTCTCAAACCCAGCCATTTTACAGGCTTGCTGGTTTATTTCACTTCCTTCAATTTCCCATCTTATTTTCTGGCCTCATTTTCTCTGATTGCCATCTATGATCTAAATTCTTATCAGCCTGCTAAGAGAAGCAATATGTCCAAAACCATCCTTCAAGATACACATCTAACAAATGATTCCACAGAGCCAGCAGGGACTGCAAGACTGTGGTCTTTCCCGCCGCATATTGCTTCCTTTTGCTAGTGCTTCAGGAACAAAGTGTCACAAACTGAGTGGATTACAACAACACCAGCCTATCGTCTCATAAGTCTAGATTCTAGGAGCCAGACTGGAGTTGGTAGAGTCATGCTCTCTCCAAAACCTGCACAAGAGAACCCCTCCTCATTTCTTCCTAGTTTTTGGTGGTTTTCAGGTAATTCTTGTTATTGCATGGTTTGCAGCTGCAGTACTTCAATTTCTGCAAGTACTGTCTCAAAGCATTTTCTCAAAGCAAATTCACGTGTGTGCGACACTAGTTTTATTAGCTTAAGGGGCCATCCTACTCTAGTATGATTTAATCACAAATAATTTTAACTACAACAACTGCTTTCCAAATAAAGTTAAATCTCAAGGGTCTGGGTATTGGTACTTCAATATGTCCTCTGGAGCAGGCAAAATTCAACCTATAACATATATTACATTATAGCTTCAGCAGCAGTGGGAGCATTATAACAGTACAAATTATACAACCACTCCTAACACCTGAAATCCAGATATGGCTTTAAATATCCCCCTTTCTCTCTAATACAGTAATGATCAACACAACTTTGCAAGGTGACTCTGGGTACCTTATTCAATCTATATAAACTGTAATCACCGTATCTTGAAAAGTGGCTTTAAAAATCACCTTAGATAACATATATGTGCTGCTTGGAATAATACTGGTATTTAGTAACGGCCTAATGAATAGTAACTATTGGTCTTTAATAACATAACAAATATACACACATAAGTCCATTTGTGTCTCTGTATCAGTACATTTGTATCTGTACATGTACTTACAAATTTGGCTAGAGTTTGCTTAAATTCCTGAGCAAATAATAAGCAGAATGTGAGACAAAAAAAGGTGAAAGTCTTTATCAATAAAAATAGATTGCTTATGTTGCATCATTTGTGCTTAATATTGATTTTTAAATTTGTTTTTAAATGTTTCAAGATAATCAAGAATTTTCGCCTTTACGCCACATGTCTCATAAATCAAAAAAGAATCGCTTGCCCCTTCCAAATAAGAAGCCAAGGGAATGGCTTTGCAGGGCAAAGAATTAGTGCCCAAAGGT